GGATGGCTGGGCTGCTGGGGGGGGCGGGGGAAGATTGGGGCGGGGCGGGGGCGGGGGCGGCGCGGCGCGGCGCTGGGCTGCTGTGCCACATTCGTTTTTCACACACACACACACACACACACACACACACACACACACACACACACACACACAACACACACACACATATTATATATATATATATATATATATATATATGCACACATATATACATAAATATGTATTTCTATAACGACGGGGGGGAAGTGCGGTGCGACGCGGTGATAAACTTGTTCGGTCAGAGGCGGCCACACTCGAGGGGAGCGGGGAAAGGCTGCGGGGGGCGGCGCGACGCGACTGCGGGAGGGAGCTAAAAGGGGGGCGCGGTGCGAAAAGGAAGCGGTCGGAGCAAGGGGGGCCCTGGGGGAAGATGAAGTGGGGCGGGGGGAGGGGGCGGGGCCCTGCAGGGGGGCAGAGGGGGGGGCGGTGCGGAAAGAAAGCTGTCGGGGCGGAGGGGGGGCACTGGGCTGCCGGCGGGCAGCGAGGATGAGGGGGCGGGAGCGGCGTCCAGCGGGGGCGCAGGAGGAGAGGAAGGTGTGCGACGCGAAAGAAATGGCCAGGCGGAGTGGGCACTGGGCTGATGCTGGACTGAGGGAGCGGGGGCGGTACCCTGCGGGGAGGGGGAGGGGGAGGGGAGGGGGGGGGTGCGGTGCGAATACGAAACATTGGAGCGGAATGGGCACTGGGCTGCTGGGCGACAGCGGGGACGTGGGGCGGGGGCGGTGTCCTGCGGGGGGAGGGGGGGGGGAGCGGGGCAAAAACGGAGCGGTTGGGAAGGAGGGGGCTCTGGGCTGCTGCAGGACAGGGAGTAGAGGGGGCGGGGGCGGCGCCCTGCGGGGCGGACGGAAGAGGGGGCGGTGCGAAAATCAAGTGGTCGGGGCGCACAGGGCACGGGGCTGCTAAGGGGCAGTGCAGAGAGGGGGCGGGGGCGGGGGCGGGGCCATGCGGGGTGGGTGGGGAGGGGAGGGGGCGGGGTGGTGCAACAGTAGAACGATCGGGGCAGAGGGGACCTTCGGTGGAGCTCCCCATGGGGCCACGAAGTGGGTGAAGGGTGTGCCGAATGGGGCGCGGGTGCGCCATGCGGACGCTGCCGCTGGGCCCTTCGGCGGAGCTCCCTGTTGAGCCACGAAACGTGCGACGAGTGTGCCGAAGTGGGGCGCGGGTACGCCATGCGGACGCTGCCGCTGAGGCCTTCGGTGGAACTCCCCATGGGACCACGGAGCGTGTGAGGGGTGTGCCGAAGTGGGTGCGGGCACGCCATGCGGACGCCATGAGGACCCAACACCACAGGATGGTTGAAAGTTGGGACAAAAAAAGTAAAGGGGAGGGAGGGAGGCGATGGGATGCGACCACTGTTACGGACAGTGTCTGGGCCTAGTTCAGACCAGGTGGTGGAATGGAAAGAGTGGGAGAAGAGAGAGAGCAAGCTAGGTGCGCTCGCGCCTAATCTGATATCCTACCCCTCCCTCCCACCCCTTCCCATGGCGCTGATGTCTTTCTACTCACGGACGCGCGTCATAGCCGACCTGCGACTCACACATAAAAATCACTTCGTGTTATGTGCAATCGGAAAAAGGGGAGCTGCGTGCACAAGAGGAGGAGGTGGCGGGTGAGCAGGAGGATGAGCGGGAGGAAAAGGATGAGCACGAACAACAGCAGCAGGAACTAAAGCGGAAGGATCACGAGGGAAAGGACGACCACGGAAGGTGGAGGGGAAATGAGGGGGGGCGACAGCGCTGAATAAAGATTCGGGTTCAGAAAAGTGGCCCGCGCTGGGGCGAGACGAAGAGCAGCAGCAAGAACTGGAGTGTATGGAGTGGGAGGAACAGGAGGACCAGGCAAAAGCGGACGAGGGAAAATGAGGGTGGGGCCACAGTTGAAGCAAGACTCGGATTCAGAAAAGTGGCCCGCGCTGGGGCGAGAGCGCCACTCTGAACGACGGGGGCAACTCGCCCATTAGAAAATAAGGCCCACGCTGCAGGAGGAGCACTATTTTGAAACACCGAAAACAATTTGAGTGGAAAAAAACGTAAAGATAAACAAACGTGTTGCGAAGTCCTATAGAAAACGCCACACGCGGAGGGGGCGGGAGATCTTCTCGACAACTTCAGGAGAGGAGGGGAGTAGTATCCGTACTGCTGCAGAGCGGAGAGGGAGGGAGGCGGAGAGAGAGAGAGGAGAGAGAGGGGGGAGGAGGGAGGGGGGAGGGGAGGGAGGGAGGGGGAGAGGAGAGGAGGAGGAGGCAGGAGGAGGGGGGGGGGGGAGGGAAGGGAGGGAGGGAGGGAGGGAGAGAGAGAGAGAGAGGGGAGGAGGCAGGGGAGGAGGGCGGCGGCAGCAGCACGCGACGGCGCAGGGCGGGAGGGCCGGCCCGGGGCCTTCGACGCGAGCAGGGTCGGCGGGGACGACTGCCCGGGCCGGCTTGTCCGAGACGTGCCTCCGGCCGGGCGGGAGCGAGAGAGAG